CACAGCAGCAGCTGATGTACTAGCACCCCTAACAGAGTGGGCTTTGAACACGCTGGTATCTATACCAGCTGCGTCCATGATTTGTTTTAGCCATCTTGCTATTGTGGAAAAAGGAACTGCTTGATGTGGCTTGATAAATGAAATAAACAACTGATCAGTACTTCCTCTAATTTCCCTGGTCTTTTCAATGTATAGATTCAAAGACTTTACAGGACATAGGTTTTCGTCCCCTAAAAATTTTGTGAAGAAAAATTCCTTAAAAACTCTACCTGGTCTGGACTGTTTAGCCAAAGCTGTTGGTATGAATACCGCTCCTTCAGGGGTATTCCTATAAACTTTTAGACTAAGCTTAGAGAGGTGAGCTGACCGTGAAGGCCGTGTCAATGCTAACAGCATGACTGTTCGTAAATACATCAATTTAAGAGACAAGTTGTTGTCTAACTGATGGGACTTAATATGGCGTAATACCCTACTTACATCCCATGTGCTCGGGTATCTTGGCAATGGGGGGCATGTCTGAAATGCCCCTTTTAACAGCCTAGACGGTGCTGACCAATAGATTGCCCTTCTATGGGAGTGTGCATTGAGAAAATAGCAGACCTATATGCATTCAGGGATCTATACTGGTATTCCTCCTTGTAAAGTTGAGCTAGGAAATTGACAATTATCCTCTATAGGTCCCGAAATGGGATCAGCCTGCCGTTCAGTGCACCAGCTGATCCATTTTCTACATAACGAATCATTACATTGTGAGGTCTTGTGTCTCCAAGAGGACAGGAGGATGTCTGCAGCCTCTCCTGAAAGCCCTTTACCAGCATAATGTTGCCTGAGATAGGCCACATGGCCAGAGGTGGCAACACTTGTGGTTGTGGTTCTGTCACTATTACTGCCTCCCTTTGAAGGTTGATTTTCAGAGGGTAAGACCTCAGCATTCCCAGGAGTCTGGGGTACCAAAGCTGAGATGGCCAGACTTGGGCTATTAGAATGATATCTGCCTGTTGCTCCTCTACTTTCGCCAGGACTCTTCCCACTAGATTCCAGGGAGGGTTGGCATATCGCCTCACCTGCGTCCAGTCCTGGAGAAAAGCATCTGTCTCTTCTGCTAGAGGATCTGGCCTCCAGCTGAAGAAACGAGGTAGTTGATAAGTCAATCTTGTTGCAAACAGATCCACTTGGAGGTTGGGGAAGTGACTCATAATTCGTTGAAACACTACAGGATTCAACATCCAGTCAGAGCGATCTCTCATTACTCTCGACTCAGAGTCTGCTATGACATTCTCTTTCCCAGGCAGGTGTTGAGCAATCAAGAGGATGTCCCTCTCGAGACACCACATCCACAATTCTCTGGCTAACTTTGTTGCCTGGGTGGATACTGTCCCACCCAGGTTGTTCACATATGCTACTGCAGTCTGGTTGTCCAACAACAGTAGTACTCGCTTGTTTACCTGATTCTTCAGGAAGGTTTTTACTGCTAGGGTTGCTGCTAGCAACTTTAGACAGTTTATGTGAAGGGTCCTTTCCTCCTTTGACCAAGGACCTCCTGTTGGACACCCCTGAGTTGTTGCTCCCCAACCCTTGAGGGAAGCATCCGATTCTATCTGGATGTCTGGTTGCCTCAAGATGAGACTCTTGCCATTCCAGGTTAAGAGCTGTTCCTGCCACCACTCTAAATTCCTCTATGGCTGCTGGTGACAGGGGGCAAGGAGCATAGTAATTTTGCTCGTTTTCCTTTAATGATATTGTCAGGTCTCTCTGCAAGGCTCTGCAAAAGAGAGGACCTGGAGTAACTGCCTGGGAGAGTGCATTTAGCTTGCCCAGGAGGCATGATACGTCCTGCTTCGTAGGTGTGTCTGCTTTATTTTTTATCCCTGCAGATTCTTGCCTCAATTTCTTTATCTTCTGACCAGGTAGTCTTAGCTCCATAGTTCGAGGGTCCACTATCATTCCCAGAAACTCTATCTCCTGGGTTGGAGTGGTCACCTTCTTCTCTGGGTGAATGATAAAACCCAGGTTCTCCAGCAAATATGACAAACCCTCCGTGTGGTCTCTTGCCTTCTCCTCCGTCTCTGCTAAGATGAGTATATCGTCTATATATGCCACTAGTCTCACTCCCAGCTCTCTGAGCAGGGTAAGTGCTGGCTTCAGGGTCTTGGTAAAGACCCAAGGAGCGCAAGACAGGCCAAAAGGCAGGCATGTGAATCAGGGTTGTTGTCAATTAGTTTGTTTTTTAATCATTACTATTACCATTACTTTATAAAAATCTTCATTACATTACCATCACCATTACAATTTATAAGTTATACCACCAATTATATTATCAATATCATTGAAACTACCTAAATTACCATTACCATTACTTTAGAAAGTGTACTACATTGCATTACAATTACCACAAAATTGCAAGAAACTGTGTTTTTCAAATTTTTTTTGGTAATAAAAGAGCACATGCTAACTGTCACGCTCAAGTTTGCAAGTTAACACAAAGGCATAACCAGTGATTGATAGCAAAATACTCTTGCTGATAGTATAGTGATAACATCATAACACAACACACCATCTTACTTAATCCATGCAATTATCTATAACCATTACCATTACCTTATCCCTACTATTAATTACCATTTGCCATTACAAATACAACAAAATTAGCCATTACAATTACCATAACCATTACAGCTAAAAAGTAATATTACCCAATTAATTACCATTATAATTATCATTGCAACAACCCTGATGTAAACTGATAGAGACGATTGTGGTTGGACAAGCGTAGTGCTGGTCTGCTCGAACTGTGAATAGGGATCGTGAAGTACGCATTCTTCAGATCTAGTTGGGTCATCCAGTCGTTTTTCCTGATAAGGTCTCTCAGAGTGTGCAATCCCTCCATCTTGAAGTGTCGAGGGACCACAAACTCGTTGAGGTTCTTAAAATTTATCACGGGCCTCATCCCCTTGTCCTTTTTTGGGACTAGGAAAAGGATCGAGAAGAAGCCTCTGTTTTCCTCCTTGGGAGCTAACTCTGTCACTGCTCCCTTGGATTGTAGCTTCAGCATCTCCTCCTCTGCGAGGCTCTACTCTGAGGATAGTGTCACTCCCTTCTTGGGGGGTGACCTTGGAATAGGCTCTGACAGGAACTCTAACCTGTAACCTTTGACAGTCTCAATCACCCAAGAATCCTGGGTGACTTTCTGCCAATTTGCAAGGAAGTGTTAACCTCCCTGCAATTGTTTGTGTACTTACCACTTTGGGTGGTAAAATCCACCTTTTGACCAAAATATCTTGTATTATACTATGATAAATCAAAAGATTTGTGCATGATGTATGTAAGTCTCTGCCTTGACATGCATGGTCCTTCAGAGGAAAAGTCACTTCCTTGGTGGGGCCTGTTTGCTCTTCTTGGTCCACCATGACTTCCCTCCTCGTTTCGAGTCGCCTCCTGTTTGGGGGGCAGTGGGGTGGCTCCCTCGAAAAAACTGTTTCGTCTGGGGCTGTGAGGAGTCTTAGCAGAAGAAAGGATCTTGAGAGAATCTGCCCTGCTCTTCATCCTTGGTTCAAACTCCTCCCCAAATAAATATGGAGCAGATGAGGAGAAAATGTCCTCATCAGCTAGATCCTGAATCTCAGGATTAATAGCTTTTAGGATCTTTCTCCGTCACAATCTTGAGACCTGGGCTGACGCATTACCAAGCAATGGGACTGCTGTGGTTAATGCAGCCTTGGATTGATCCACAGATAACTCCTCCCCATCATGCTCAATGTCCCTAAGCATGGCTAACAGGAGAGCAGCTGCATCATGTATCAGGGCTTGTAGACGAGCAAGCTCCTGATCAGCATCTTTTGTCTCCTTAACCACTGTTAATTTAAAGACAGAATCCAGACGTGGACATTTCGTCTCAGGTAAGTCAGGTGCATCAAACAACTTCCTCATTTTTCTTCTTTCTTCATTTGAGAGAGGTTTTGAGAAGGAGAGTGCCACCACAGTCTTGCTGCTCTCTGACAGCTTCCTTGCAGGTGGCTTCAGGTTAGAGAAGCTGGAAAACTCTATCTCCTCCTACCAAGAGCCCGGAGCAAAATCGCCCTATGGCAATGGGCATCTGCCTGCCCAGGGTAAAGCCGGATCATCACTACCGAGTGCGACTTTTTTGGAATGACTACGCTTGGTTGGGGCGCTCTGCCCTTCCAAGGCTCTGATCCGGTTCTCCACGGACGTAAGAGAGGATTGGATCTTCCCCAATTCCACATCACTCCGTCTTGCTTCTGAGCATCAAGGTCAGAGCTGACACTCTGGTCAGATCTGGTAAACTTCAGTAACTGGAGAAGGGTACTCTGCCCTCCATCCAATATTTCATGATGTTGGTCTGGTTCTTCGTCCGAACTGGAATCCGACATTGCTGAAACTGAACAAATGTGGCATATCTTTCAGGAGTTAGAAAAAAGGCCAACGCGGAGACACCAGGGCAGGGTTTCTATACAAAGTTTGAAACCCCACCCATAGGTGGAGATTTTTTTGTAAATATTTCAATTATTACTACAAACAAACAGTAATTTTAGAAAACTAGGCCAAACACCATTGATATGTGAGACTGAGCCTTCTGAAATATAATGAATAATATATGAGACACTGTGATATAGGCCTTAACAATTAAAAAATACATGAATAATGAACTAGACATTGTCATATTGGCCAATTTAAAGAATAACATAAAATATCATTGTTGAGACACTGTCAAAAATTTAATCTAAAGACACTGTTGATATTGACTCTGCGATATGGCCATCTTTTTCCCCTTCGATACCAGCTTGATCTCTTCGGGGTGAAGGGGTGACAACAGTTAGGACACATTGTCCTTACTGGCTAACAAAGCTGGGTTTATGTATAGCATGGTTATAAATATATAATATTATAAAAAAATTAACACAAACCAGCTGACTGAAGAGGGCAACTGACCGAGTTATTGAACTTGGAGCTGACCCAAATCTCCAATCAGAGATGGCATCGTCACTCCATCCCCCTAGAGTCTCTACAAGTAGAGGAAGAAACTCTACCCCCACCTCCACACAATCACCCTCTTGAGCCCGTCTCTTCCACCTCTCACCATATCAAGAGGCATAGCCCTGAGTAACAGCTGCTTCGAGAAGCATCAGAAATTGGAGGGGGCAAATGACAGAAACATCAAGAGCTGCAGGCTTGCCTTGATTCCACACTGGAAGGAAAACGTCAGCTGAATGGGATGTAGAACCAGGGATGTGAGATGGCACTTTCGTATGAGGAGAGAGAGCAGCTGTGCTGCAGGCCGTAAACAAGATGTCACGGAGACAATTGTGCCTCATTAGCATGTCTCCATTCCCATGACAGGTCACCAAATGATCTCCCATACCATCAGAAGCCACCCCACAGACAGAGCATAAAGCTCCACCTTCTTTGAATCCAACCAATACCGCAGAAAAAGCTGAAACTCCCAATCCTGGAAATGAAAACATAAGGTAGCACATGAAATGGCATTCAACCAGTCACCAGCTTGAGCTATGGCAGAAGAAAAGCAACGAGCCTTAAAGCAATTGTTAGAAGCTGAAGCCAACAAACTATCAAAACAGTGCTGATCAATCACTGCTTCTGCTTCGAAGGCACATCAATATCCTCAAGAGTAAGCCAACTAGACTGACCAGCAGTGAAAGAAAAAGGAGACAGCCAAACCAAGAAAGAGTAATGGAGGTGGTTCTTGACCTAATAACTGAGTCACCAAGAGAGCAGACTGAGAAACTGAAGCAATAAGAGCAGCAGGAGCATGAGAAGGAGCCAAACGAATACCTAAACCACCTAGAGATACAGGAAGGGTAGCCTTTAGCCAAAACCAAACAGACATATGAGTACTAACCAACTC